TATTAACTATTGCAGTATTTATTCGAGCCGCTGTAAGCCGACTTTTGCCCATCCCTGTATTCCAAGGTAAAGAAAACAGGTGCGCCTACACCAGCTGGACAGAGGCTTCTGCAGAAACAGGCCTCTACCCGGACCGAAGAAACCGTGACAATAAGTAAATGTTCTCTCCTCCTCATCCGTTTCTCATGCTCGGTGTCTGAGTCAAGAGTGCTCTTCTGGATTAAGCCTCTCTAAGCCCTTGGGTACCGCTGGCACCAGGAAGCCAGCCCTCTCTGTGTCTGTCCTTGCTGTTCTCCTCTGCAAAGATTATGGGATAAATGGCCTATAAACAGGAAAACAGAGATAAAGTCTGCAAACTAGGAGTTCTTGCTGGGGTTGGCCAACTCCTTTGTGTCTTTGCCATGTGACTCATTTGTGAGGAAAACCTCAAATTACATTAAGTTTATGAGTAATTTGATGGTACGCAACCGAGCAATGAAGAAATCTTGCAACACGGCTATGTTTTCCAGGGCTGAGCGACCCGAACAGCGAGTGAGAACAGCCCTCGTGACCAAACTGGCAGCCCCAGACCCTGGCTGCCTGCCCCCTGGCCCCGCAGGGCTCTGAGCAGCGAGGGTGGGCCCCTGTCCTTGCAGCCTGGGAAGCAGCCCCACTTAGCCGGGGGGTCAGCCAGCGGTTCCTGGAAAAGGACTTCGATGCTGGAACCCGCCCTGTCCCCAGCTGACCTGGAACCAGAGCCCCACACAGGACGTCTCCTCGCGTGACAGGAGGTCACAGCGGGCTCTGCTGTGTGACGAGGCAGAGCCCTTCCATCGCCGTTTCTGGCCTGCGCAGAGGGGGAAGGGAAGGCAGGCACGCCGAGAGTAAGGCAGTGAGGGCTGGCTGGCCCCTGAGCCAGACGGGAGGTCGCAGTGGGCAAGGGAACAGGAGACACCACGTCAAAACCGCCGCCATGAAGGCGGCCATGTTTTGAACAACAGTGATAAGGCCAGAGCTTTCTCTTTTTTTAGTGTATTTTATTGATTAGGCTATGCCAGTTGTCCCTTTTTTCCTCCTCTTCATTCCCTTCCACCCTGTATCCCCCCAACCTCCAGGGTCCCCCCACTCCTCAGTTCATGTCCATGGGTCATACATATACGTTCTTTGGCTTCTCCCTTTCCTATACTACTATTAACCTCCCTCTGTCTATTTTGCACCATTTATGCTTCTGATTCCCTGCACCAGCACAAACTAAGCCAACAACTAGGACAGGAGCAGAACCGCAGGAATGGAGATCCCATGGGGGTTATCAGGCAAGAGCTATGCTGAGCCGTTCGGAACCTTCCTCCTTTGGCATCAGAGTAGCCCCCCGGAGGTCCGCCGGCTGGATGAGAGATCTGGGCCCACGGCCCACAGCCGCCAGGCGGCCGTGCTGCGCCCGCCGCGCCCAGCGGGAAGTGTGTGAGGCAGGCAGGCAGTGCCGGCCGGGAACGGAGACGGAGGGAAGCTTTCTGCTGGAGGATTGCACTCCAACGTGCGCTCTGCTGGAGGGTTCCGTCCCCCCGGGCCCCACGATGTTTTACACCCTACATTCCATGCCCTAGAACGTACTGAATAGACAGGACAGAGTCCATTAGGCTTGTTGATTTATAGCTTTTCAGCGTTTAGAAGGAGCGGCTTTTAATGGGAAATTGGTTGTATGCCACAGCCCATTTTAGAAATTTGTCTCCGTGTGCCAGGAAGTGATTTATGCCCTGCTTCCATTACGGCCTCTTTTTGGAAGGAGGGAAAAACACCAACACAAAGCAAAGTCAATGTCCAGTAACTGCGAATCCCGCTGGGCGCGCCCGTGGCCCGTCTCCGTGGGGGGGCACGCTGGCTGGGCTGCGTTTCTTCACTGAACAGCGGTAGCCGTGGCGTCCGCCGCACCGTCAGCCCCAGGGCCCTGACCGAGTGACCCCGCCACCATCACACAGGTTCTGGAGTGACCAAGAGGCGGGCTGTTGGGATTAGCCCAAGGTCAGCCGGAGTTCGTCTTTGTCGTCCCTGGTCATTCGTCACTGAAAGCAGCATGTGCTCCGCCTGACAGACCTCCCTCGGCCTGGTCTCTGCGCCACCCCCCACCCCCGGCCTGGGTGGGGGGCGGGAACACCCCACTCTCTCCCTCCACACCTCCCTCTCCTCCCTGTTGCACTGTCCTGCTGGTTACTGCCCCACACTCCCTAGACAGGGTGGGCGCATCCACACGCAGCAGGTGTGTCGTACCTCTCCGGCCCCCGACACAGGCCTTGCACACAGTAGGTCCCACGCAAGTAACCGAGGCTGAGCAGGCCTGCGTTAGGGTGGAGCCGTGTGCTGTTGCTATAGAGACTTGTCACGAGCCTCTTTGAACTCAAATCCTTTTCCTTATTTCTCTATGCATTCTGAAAAGACATCCCAGCGTGAAAGATACAGAGGACTCTGCCCTAATAAAGAGCTCCTACCCCTCATCGTTGGGAAGTCCTGAACTTAAACAGTGAAAGCTAGATCGGTCTGGCGCCACTCCTTCTAGACATGTGCAGCTAACTGCGTTCTTGAGTAAGTTTAACTTGGCCTTCAGTGTCAAACAGAGGTGGCATTGCTTTATCTTTCTCACTCATTAAAGTTCTTGAGGGATCCTAGTCTGATTCCGTATTTCTTTGATGACACAGGGTTATTTGGGGGGAAATGCAACTCTGTTCCATCATGCCAACCCACTTCCGTTGCCTGCCCACACCTCCCACCAGCGGGGACAAAGCCCTCGCTTCAGAGATGTGGCGTGGAGGAGGGGCAGTGTGGGCCCCCTCGCCTCCCTCTCCGCGTGGCTCCTTCTTCTTCCCACGTGCCGCGAAGAGGGCAAGGAGGCAGAGGAGGTCGAGTGTTCACTCGGCGGCACCACCCTGTCCTCCCCCGGCTGTCAGTGCCCCGCGGTAGCAGGGGGTTCCTCTGGGAGGTTCTGCAGGGGGTCCTCACCCACAGCCCTTCTGGACCCCAGCCCAGGCCCGCCCCAGGGAACGTCCCCCCGCTGTCTGCCCCTGGGGCGATGGCAGCCAAGCTCAAGTGCAGCTGCCTCCCAGGAGCCCCTTGGCCTATCGACATGCTCGCCTCTTGGCGAGAGAGCAGTGACTTCACCCACTGTTTGTTTCCGGTGGGCACAGCTGGAACGGTAATAAAATCAGGTTTTCCAGAGTCCAGAACCAAGGAAAAACCCACCGCCTCCACCCTTTTCAAAGATCGGGGGAAAGTGTCTGATTCTTTCATAAAAAAGTATGAGGGTGGCCATTATGTTCACGGAAGAGAGCCAGAGTCAGAAAACACAAAATACTGGTCGATCCTAAAGAGCTTGCTCTTGATTTGGGTGTTAAGCCCAGGATTCGAACACAGAAGCAAACACGTTGAGACGCGGAGAGACAAACTCGACTCGGGTTTGTCTGTTCCCGAGTCAGGCTCCTGGGACCCAGTGAAGACCTTGCATCGAAGATGATGTTTGGAAAACAAAGGCACTACTGGGGGGAAATACATATATCACGTCAGGAGCTCAGTGGTGCCAAAACAGCAGGACGAAAAACTAGGGGCGAACTAGGGGCGAACTTCAGCATCCAGAGGGAATCGGACAGAGTCAGCCCTGAACTCCCCGGGTTTGAGGGTGTTATTGAATAGTCCTGAGTATGTCTGGTCACAAAGATTTACTAATGAGATGTCAGTCACAAGGAGTCTTGTTCTCCTCCGAAGAGAGAGAGCAGCCCCTTCCAAAACGCTACAAGGGACACGAAGGGGATCTCCCTGCGACATCTGTTGCCCCCGATCACCAGGGTTGATTCGCGGATCTGGCCGGGGAGGCAGGCGTCCCCGCCCGCCCTCCCGCCCTCCCTCGCCACGCCACGTGCATCGCTCTGGAATCCGTACACTCGGTCAGAGAGCACAACCTTCCCCCGAGGGGGGGGACGACCCTTCTTCCGCCCAAACAAGCTCCCCAGCCTCCTCGGCCACGAGGGAACCCTGGTGCGCCGATGCTCTGTGTGGTGGACCTCAGCGCATGGCATCCGGGGTCCCCCCCTCCCCTTCGCTTTCCTGAGGGAACGCACGTTTTCATTCACGCAGCCTCCTCCCCCCTAACGCAGCCCATGGATTTTGAGGGGGGTGGACCGCCAAATCGGGGTGACAGGGTCTCAGACCATGAAGTGTGGGTTCAGGCACGGAGAATGGCACTCAGTTAATACAGCATCGGCTCCGCAGCGGCCTGCGACCCGGTCTGGGCTGGTGGGTCACCGCGGAGGTTGGTCGGAAGAGACCGTCTCTCCCAGCAGTCCGGGGGTCCTGTTGAGGCCGGAGATGAAGTAGGAAATCCGGAGACCCCGCAGCTGTCATCAGCCAGCCTGGTGACACCTGATAGTAATTAGCACTGGGGTTTCCTCCCCGAGTGGGCAGCCAAGGAGGACTGTGGGAAATCGCATGCGTAGACGCTTCGGTAAACACCCTACGAAGCCTATAGCCAGTGAACAGGAGAGAGCCGTTCCCGGGCCAGAGGGGGCCCGCTCCCACATCTTGGGGAGCCCCCTCTCCTTCATAAACTTCCCACTTGCTTTGCTTTACAATGTCTGGGTGGCCAGCCCCATCCTTTGTCCACGACCCCCGAGAGCCCGGCCCCCGTCTGCAACGGTGGCGCTGTGGCTGCTGCGACAGCGCCGTCAGCCGGAGAGGAGCCAGGTGGAGGACGATGCCAGCCCTCTGGGAGGCAGAGGAGAGAAGCAAGGAGCACCAGGCTCTCAAAGACGCCGTGGAGCCAGGTAACCCGCCGTCCCCGCAGCGGCCCTCACTCCGGCCCCTCCAGGAAAGCAGAGCCAGCAGCCGCCCGCACGGGCCAGCCCGTAGCCTGTGTGGTGGTGTTCTGGGACAGTGACTAATGACATCCTGGTGAGAGTGGCCGCATGATTCACTGTCCAAGCTCAGCCGCGTTTGAGAGGGCAAAGGGCGCCGTTAGTCATCTAAGCACACCGGGGCCACAGACCGCAACCGGGGCTGTTTCAGGCCAGCGGGAATGAATGCTGGGTCACGCTAATCTTGCCGCTAGAAACCGAACAGTACCCTATTCATCACCTGGAGCTTGAAGGAAATATGAAGTCAGAGTTCCTCACGGAGGTAAAGTACTAACCTGATTCAGGTCTTTCTCGAATCGCTTCTCCAAACTACAGACAGCGAGATCATTTCAAAACCTGGGCTTGCTCCCCCTCTCCCCTGCTTACAACACTGTAAGTGCCCCTGTTCTTTCGGGATAGAGTCCACGAGCACTTGTTTGTGGGGCCTCGAGCCTCTCCGGCCTCCAAAGGGGCTTGGAGAGCCACTCTGACTCCCCTGAGCTGGGCCTCCCCCCCCAGGCAAGTCAGCTGGTCACCCCTCCGGTCTCCCCCCACCTGGAGCCACGCTGGCGGGCTCCTCTGTTGCAGAACCTGGCAGGCCTGTTGTCGCCCTTCCTGGTGGTTCTCTTGGCTGTTCAGTGTGGTCACAAGTGACCAGGGAGGTGTCTGTTTTTGTTCTTTGTGGTGTGGGCCCCTTGCACAATACCTGGCCGCACAGAGACACTCAGAACGGGTGTGTCCGCTGAATGAACCGGGCCTGGGAGAGATGGCCAAAACGGAGGCAGTGGCAGAGCCGGCTGCAGAGATCAAAGTGGCGCCCGCCCCAAGGGCAGAGAGGCACTCCCTCTTTATGCCTTTGACTCACGGCGCTGAGGTTTGCAGCCCCTCCCATGTGGCCATCAAGGGCTCACCGGAGAGGGGGAGGGGAGACAGCCGTTGGCAGGTGCTTTTGAGACTGCCCAGTCTGAGGCAGGTGCTTAAGGCGCAAGAGTTAAAATGTTGTGATGTTTCCTTCCTAACCCCCAGCTGCGAACGGGTGATTTTCTCTCATGCTTTCATGTATCCAAAGGCCAAAGCTGCTTCTCCAATAATTGCCTTCTCTTTTTGGCTGGCGCAGTGAAGGTGGAAATCACCTCTCTCGAATGTCAGCCTGATAACGAGTGAGTCCTTTGGTGGTGCCGCCGTCAGTGCCCTAGACAAGAGAGGAAAGGGACATCGTTATAAACCTTGCTACTCTGTGGTCACACCCGCCTTAAATCTGCGTTCTAGGGATTACAGGGCTGTGCGCCCTCTGTCCTGTCTTTGCTGCGTCCTCACTTCTCTCTCCCTGTGCTCCTAACGCCCCGCACCCCTGCCAGCTCCTCCCGCAGCCACGACTGCTCCCTCCTGCTGCAGTGTCTGGCAAAGGGTTTCTGTCTGCCTTTAGTGGCCTTGTGAGCTGGGCGAGGGGCGGGGGGCAGGGGCAGTGAACAGAAGCTCAGAGAAGGCACAGCACTCCGGTCGCCCTGCAGGTAGGCACGGATGCACCCTCAAATTCTCAAAAGGTTTTTTTTTTTCTTTATCTTTACAAAAGCACTGCAAAGACATGGTGGAAGGTGCCACTCCAGGCGCCTCCTATGAGGATCCACTTTTTTTAATCCTTCATAAAGTTCAGTACCTGGAAAATACTCTCTCTAGAAGGGTTTCTCTAACCTGGCAACGTGGGTGGTATGGCCGGTCACAGCCCCCTTTATGCCCTGAATCAGAGACTTCCAGAACGAGCACTGAATTCAGCCGCCTCACCCTTAGCCCCTGGCTTGTGACTTCCTTCTTATCTCCGTGTTCACTGCCCCACTTCATGCAAGCTTTAATATTTTAAGCCACCTTAAAACCCTTTTTTAAGGAGACAGGGCACAAGTGAAAACATTCTTTTTCCTAATATTAAAAGATCCTTTAATCTTATGAAACCACATTCTCCTACAAGAGTAGAATCACATTTTTTTTAACCCCTGAGAGAGCTGAACTGTACGGTGAACTGTTACCCTCAGGCCTGTCGTGCAGCCAACCCCGTTTCCTGTCATTTCCTTTCCTCGGACCCTGCGTTTGCGCCTCCTGAGCCAGATCTGTCATCCGGGCTCGGCCCTGGGGGTCCTCCCGCACCCAGACACCAGCCCCCCCAGAGGCTGCGCACAGCCTACCAGGCGTCTCCTGTCTGGGCGTGAATGGATGTTTTATAGGAAACATCTGGATGCCCTCCAAGAACCCCAGGGCTCACAACGGAAGGACAAAGGAAATCTAGCTCTTGATACAAGCTAATAGCAAGGACACCGGTAGCCTTGCGAAGCCGCAAACCACGTCAGGGACAAGCACCCAGTTGGCCGTCCTCCCTCTGGACAGCGTCCGTCAGCCCCATGCTTGCCGAGCACAGCCCAGCGGGCGGGGCCCGAGTCCTCTCCTGCTGGTGCTGGGCGATGCCACAGTCATTACGCCCCCTCCGCTCTCAACAGTGCGACCTCGACTTGTTTAAGCAGCGATTGGATAATCAGGCCACAGGGGCCAAAGAAGAGGGAACATGTTCTGTTGGAGCTTGCTGTGACCAAACTCCAATCAACGGCACGGCCCTGAGAGGGGCGGTCACTATTCAGTTCCTCGTGCTACCGAATCGAACACTTCACAAAGCCAAGATTCACCGTCTTACCATCCACAGCAACGTGCACGGCCCCTTGCATCCATATGCATCCATATGCATTTGCTAGACAACTAATCCATAGAAATAGTCTTCCGTTTTCATGGATTGCTATGATTTGTATTGCTTTTCCGTAGTAAAACCAAGTTTTTGGTTCATGTCTTCCCCCTCTCCATTTCTGTGTCTCTAAGTGGCCCCATTGTTGGTCGGTTTCCTGATGCTGAATGCAGGTCCGTTCTGCACGGTCATTGACCCAAGCGCACACACACTGACTCGGTAGGCGGTAAGTCTCTCTCGGACACACGTCCAAGTGTTCCGAGTCCCAGCCATCCCCCAGCTCCCCTCCCAAGGGCCTGCGCTGACCCTCCTGGGGTTTCACACACACCCACCCCTTGTTCGGCAAAACCACTAGAAGCACAGGCTGTGGAGCAGGATGCCCTGGTATAAATACAAAGCACTTTCTTTTTATTTTTATTTTAAAAAGACTTTATTTATTTTTAGAGAGAGGGGAAGGGAGAGAGAAAAAGGGAGAGAAACACCAGTGTGTGAGTGATAGATACATCGATGGATTGCCTCTCACATGCTCCCAACGGGGGGACCTGGCCTGTGACCCTGACTGGGAATCGAACCGGTGACCCTTTAGTTCGCAGGCTGGCACTCCATCCGCTGAGCCTCACGCGCCAGGGCTGGAAAGTGCTTTCTGACTGAGGCTTGACCTCATGCGGCGGTGGAACTCTGAAGCCGCTATATAAAGTAGGCCCGGCTACTCTGCCGGAGGAGGAGAGACCATAAGCCAGTCACCGCGGCCCTCCATCGAGACGTGCATAAACCAGCCAACTCCAGCCAACCTGCCAGCCGACCGCAGATGAGCCCAGCTGGAATCAGCCAGGCCTAGCTCAGACCGCACACACTGCCTGGCGTGACTTAAACAAATGGTCGTTTCACTAAGACACTGGGTTTTGGATTATCTGCCGAGTTAAAAAACGGCCTCAAAATTTTTTGACTCTCCTCCTTTGAGAGGTGGGGTCTATAGCCCTTGAACCCGGACCATTGAAGCTCGAAAGAGGGCATCCGAAGTGCCGCCGTGGGACTTCCAAGCCTAGCACACGAAAGGCCAGGCAGCGTCTCCTCTTTCCCCTTGCAATGCTTGTGATGGAGGCCCCTCCCCGCCCAGGGAACTCCAGCGGCCACGCCGTGAGAAGTCACGCGCAGGCGGTCCCGTCGGCCGCCCAGCTGGGCCCAGACTTCGGGTCACCCCCGCTCAGATGTGAGACACCAGTGAGGACGTGTCCAGCGTGTCCCAGCCCCTGGCCATTCCGATTTTCCCAGCCCAGCTCCCTGCCGGGCCCGGCGCAGCTGGAGCGGGGGCAAGGCGGCCCTCTGCTCTGTAGCAGGTTTCCCTTCCTGTACTCTTTACTGTTGTGCAGATTCCTGTCTTTTCTTTTCTTTTTCTGTCCAAAGAATTTTCTTTGACATAGTGTAGGTCCGCTGGGGATGAATTCTTCCATTTTTTTTTAAATAAAAGATTTTATTTATTTATTTTTAGAGAGAGGGGAAGAAATCGATCCATTGCCTTTTGTACACGCCCCTACAGGGAACCGAACCTGCAGCCTAGGCAGGTACCCTGACCGGGAATCAAACCTTCTGATGTGTGCGACGGTTCTCCAGTCAACGGAGCCACACTGGCCAGGGCCTGGCTTCATTTCTGAAAGATATTTCAGCGGGTACAGGATTCCTGGCTGACTTTTTTCTTCTGTCAGTACTTGAGATGTTGTACCGCTGACCTCTCATTTGCATTATTTCTGACTGGAAGTCCGCCGTGGCCTTAGTTTCTCTCTTCACAATGTGCCTTTTCTGCCTCTGGCTTCTTTTAGGGTTTCCTCTTTATCACAGGCTTTGAGGAATTTGGTTAAGATGTGTCTTGTTTTCTTCATGTTATTTGTGCTTGAAGTTTGTTGACCTTTTTGGGTCTATCGATTGATACTTTTACAAAAAAGTTGGAAATCTTTCAACCATTGTTTCTTTTTTTAATATTTATTTATTTATTTATTTTTAGAGAGGGAAGGGAGGGAGAAAGAGAGAGAGAGAAACATGAATGTGCGGTTGCTGAGGGCTGTGGCCTGCAGGCATGTGCCCTGACTGGGAATCGAACCTGCGATACTTTGGTTCCCAGCCCGCGCTCAATCCCCTGAGCTACGCCAGCCAGGGCTCAACTACTGTTTCTTAAAGCATTTTCTCTGTCCTGCCCTCTCTCCTCCCCTTCACAGATTCCAGTCGCCTCAGGTTCAGCAGACCAAAGCTGTCCCACAGCCCACTGGGGATCTGTTCGTTTTCAAACTGTTTTTTTTTCCTCTGCGTTTTTTCTTTTAGGTAGTTTCTACTGTTATTTTGAAGTTTACTAATTTTTTTGGTAATCTGCTCTGGTTATTAATCCCATCCGATGTATTTTTCATCTCAGACGGCGTGGCTATCATCTCTGGAAATTGAGTTTGGGTCCTTCTCATATATTCCCCGTCTCTCCTTAGTTATTTAAACATACGGCTACGGTGCTTGTTTCAATATCCTTGTCTGATTCCAACATCTGTATCAGTTCTAGGTTCCTTTTGATTAATTTTCTT